TTAAAATCAAGTCCTGTTTATAAAAATAAAAATTTAAACATTTGATTATAACTTTGCAGTAGGTAGAAATTAAATTAAAATCGCTTGATATATAACTGAGAAATCATTAATTTTTGAGTAATGTTTTTATAATTTTTCGATTTGCCGTATCATTTATTGTAAAATTCAAAATCAATTGAAAAATGTATGTTGTCTTGGTTTAACCCTCTATCTTTTACAATAAATTCATTCAAATTATTATTATTTTTTTAAAAAATATTAATAAAGTAAGTTTTAAAATTATCTATATTTCATGAAGGTACCACCTTAAGAAATTTTGTTAAAATTTTAAATTGTTGTGATATTAGATTGTCGAAATTGTGACTGTCCATTTCATTGATGATTTGTTTAATTTATGTTTTATTATATTTTCATCATCTTAAAAATATAATGTTTCATACATGGAGCAAGCTGGTACACGCAGTAATTCCCACGATTTAGATGGCAATCTGTGTGCTATTTGTACTTCTACAAGCACTGAACAACTTGTAAATGTTGTTGTTCAGGGTAAACAAAAATTAAAAGAGGTATCATTCGAGAGAGGTGACCGTAAATTTTTTCAACTCGATATTTCGAATAAAGTTGTTGTTCATCATCCCTGCAGAAGCCTATATACACATCCAATAAATGTTAAAGTTCATAAGCGTAAAAAAGAAGATGAAAAAATACTTCCTTTAGCCCTACAAAGCAGAAGTTGAGAAGATCTTGGTCAAATTCATCAATTAATTGTAGTGAAGAAGTACTCAACGTCAGTAGTAACTTTGATTGGGAAGGAAATTGTTGTATCTGCGGAAAACAAGCAAGCATAGAAAAAGAAAAAAAAAGCGTCAAGAGTTCAAAAAGACAATTAAATGTGTCAAATTTTTAGAATTTCAAAGGTATTTATTGCACAAACTTTCTTATTTAAAAGATGATTTTCATCGAGAAATTTATAAGCGTCTTTGCGACGCAAGAAATCTCGTAACTTTGCACGCAAGATATCACTATGAATGCCTTAGAAAATTGATCTGTCAATATGAACAAAAAATATAAGTTCCTCGAAATAATTACTCAAGTAAAGTAGATCAAGCAATGGAAGAAATTTTCGAATTAATGCTCTCAAGTCAGGAGTGCCAATTTACTCTTGCGGAACTTCAACAGGCTATAAAATTTTCAGATATAACTCCCAGTGAAAACACAATCAAACAACGTTTAAAGAATAGATTTTCGGATCAAATTATTTTTTCAAATAGGATGGGTGGCGTGACTTACGTGTGTTTTGCTAATAATATATACGACATACTCACCGATGCGTGGTACAAGAATATAAAGCAGGATATCGAACAAGAACAAAAAAGGTTAATTGATTCTGCTTCAGAATTGATTCGTCGAAAAATTAGAAGTACAATATGTCGCATGAATCAATATCCTGCCAGTGACAAGGATTTCGATACAATTGACGAAAAAATTCCACCTCTTTTAATTCGATTTTTGCAAAATGTCATTTACAAAGATAAAAAGAAAAATGAGAGCAATAACATTTGGTATTCTAAGAAAAATTTTTCTATTGCTCATGCCATCATGTCTGCTGCTCGGCCAAAGAGTTTTTTGTCTCCTCTTCAACTCGCTGTAGGAAGTACGTTTTACAGAAAATTTGGGTCAAAAAAAATGATTGAGATATGCTATCAGCTTGATAGATAATTTCACTTAAGATGTGAATATTGACGATATTAATTTAAATGAGGCTTTTAAAAAACTCAACAAATTATTTGAAAATCCTCTTAAAAAAATCGAAGAAAGAGGAAAAACAGCAAAATTATGGGTCCAGTATTTTCGAATGGTGTCTTTGATGAAACAATTCCTCGCTGCTGAAAGAATGGGTGACTGGAAATCACACCTAGAATGTATCGAACTTATAATACCTTTCTGTCATGCAGCTGGTCATTTCAACTATGCAAGAAGTGCAATATTGTATCTACAGGACATGAGGAGTTTGAAAGAAAAAATGGATCCAGAAGAATCCAGAAGATGGAAGAAGATCCAGATCCCGAAGACAGTAATCTAAGAGATGTCAGTGCAGGAAGTTTGCAGAGATATTTCATTTCCACAGAAGACCACAATGGCTATTTTCACTTAAAGATCCAAATTCAAAACTTGTCAGATGGAGATTTAAGCTGGAGGAATTTGACTACGAGGTAATATATAAAAAAGGCAAATCCAATACCAATGCAGATGCTTTATCCCGTGTCGAAATTCACACGAGAAAATTAAACAGTGTAGATGAGAACATGGAAGAAATAATGAAACTTCTCTCAAAGGATAATGACGATGATATCTCTATGATTATTCACCCCAGTTCCTTATCCGATAAAGAAGAATTTCTAACTGACCGAGCCGAAGAGTCTCAACAAATTTCGAATCCGTCAACCCCTTTAGGCGACTTAGATAAAATCATCCAGAAAAATCAAACTGCAACGTTAACTCCCGAAGAAATAAAGATAATAGACGAAATCCCAGATGAAGACAGTAAACAGTAAAAATCTAAAGCTCAGCCATCAAACTCCCAATACTTACAAGAAGATAACGATACATATGTAATCAAACATTTCACGGCAGAAAATCCAATAAGAGGAATTCCAATTAGCGAGAAACCACTAAATTATTACAATAATCAAATAATTTTCAAGATAGTAAATTACAACACGGCGAAATCAATCACAGAGCAGTGTTTTGTAACAAAGAAGAGAATGTATATCCAATTGGGAAAAGATAATCTTCACAACGACATTTTAAAGTTTTTCAAGAACTATATAGATCCGAAAAAGAAATACGCCATTTTGTTCGAGAATGATGAACTCTACAAATCCCTATGCAATATTCTACGAGACACTTTTAAAAATTCCGCTTTCGAACTTATCAAATGCAACATCCTCCTAGAAAATATAAACAGCACAGAGAGACAAAAAGAAATTATAGAGAACTACCATCAAGGGAAGACTAACCACAGAAGAATTAACGAAACCGAAGCTCAAATAAGAAAAAGCTACTACTGGCCTACGCTAAAGAAAGACATCAAAGAAGTTATCAACTTTTGTGATACGTGCCAAGCTAACAAGTATGACAGAAATCCAATTAAGCCGAAATTTATGGTAATACCAACTCCAACGAAACCTTTAGAAATAATTCATATGGACACATTGCAAGCTAACGGACAAAAATTCCTTACAATCATTGATGCATTTTCGAAATATGGCCAAGCATATCCTATAGAAGGATCCAACGCAGTAAATGTCCTTAATGCCTTCATGCTCTTTATAACCATGGACTGCCACACATGATAATAGCAGATAGCGGAACCGAATTCAAGAACGGCCTTGTCCAGGAATTTGTCGATACACACAAAATTTCGATCTTTCGAATTTCGACTACACAACACTAGATAATCCACAATCAAACGGAATGATAGAACGTTTTCACTCTACAATTTTGGAACACTTACGATTACTTAGAAAAAAAAGAAAGACTCTGAGTATTGAAGAACATATGTTATATGCTATTTTAGGATACAACAATTCCATTCATTCATCAACTAAACAAAAGCCAATGGAAATTCTCAATGGTCATATCGATCCTCAAGACCCGTTTGACATCGATATTAACAGAACCCTAATAAATAACTATACACAAAGCCACAGATTAAAAACAAAAGAAATCTACAGTAAAATAAATAAAAATCTACAAGAAACCAAACAGAAAAATATTGAGAAAATAAATGAAAAAAGACAAACACCAATAACTTTTAAACCCAGCACAAAAGTTTACACTAGAAAAACAGTAAAAAGAAACAAACTCCTCCCGAGATTTTCTTCCCGCATTGTGAAAAATAACAATCCCGTAACAATAGACACTCAAGATACGTCGATACACAAAAAGAACATCAAACACTAGCCAGAAACTAACGCTAAAACTACCATACAGATGTACCTTAGTAGCAGCCCAACAAGTTCAAATTCAAAACCTGAAGGACAATCCAGGAATTCTCCCAGTTAAACTTGGACAAGCGGGGATACAGACCAGCACTCATGACTTCATCCACTATTTCCATCTAGATCCCATCGCAGAAGAGATTGAATCCATAGAATCTCAATATATCACTACCAACAGAGCAATAGAAAATGGACTTAGTCAAACATATTTTGACAGCCTACAAAACTTGGATAAAACTGTACAGTATCTTCTCCAAACAGCAAAAGAAAAACTAGACACAATATATCCAATATCCAGAAGCAAAAGAGGACTTACACATGGATTGGGAAGTGTAATAAAATCTATTTCTGCTAATCTAGATCAAGAAGGTGCTGAAAGATACAACGCCGCCATTAAATCACTTGAAAATAACCAAAAAATATTATTACCAACATCAAGAGCCAACTCAGTCTCAATAAAAGAATAATGACAAATTTTAACCAAACAATTTCACTACTTACACACAACCAAGAAATCATGGCTGAAGAGACAAACAAAATTAGCTTAGAGATGAACCAATTCGTTTTCGATTTTAATGATTATATGCAAGTTCGAAACATCCTTGACCAGATAAATCTAAATTTACAAACAATTATACAAATACTGGATGATCTACAAACAACAATTACATTTGCAAGAATCAAAACTTATACAAGAGTCTTATCAAACCTGAAGAAATAAAATGGACCGTGCAAAAGATGCTTGAGCACCACCCTGCATCACAGATTCCCTATATTCAAAAAGAAGACAACCAAATACTATGAAATTATAGACATTGATGGTTATTACACGATCCACACCCTTGTTTTCATTTTACATTTTCCTATCCTTCATTCCAAGTCGTTCACATACTTCCATTTATACTCACTCCCAACTAATAATCACACAATAATCATTCCACCTGGTCCATACCTAGTCCACAACTCAGACCTTTTTCAATATATTATGGATCTACCATGCAAAAGAAGTGGATCCAAATCATTGACTGCATCATCCAAATTCTCCAGTTAATCAATGATGCTGCCCAATGCCAAAGTGTTCCTGTCACTGTCACTACAACGATCATCCAAAAAGTATCAGATGCACATTACATTGCTGTTTTCCAAAGGCTACGAAGGTATCTACCCGTTGCACCACTATCAAAATAGAAGTACTCGAAGGGACCTATCTAATTGAGTTACCACCAGGATGTGAACTAAGAACCAATAATGAAGTTTACATGACTTCCAAAACAACAATTAAAGAAGAACCACTTACATTACCAAAAGTCAAGACCACCACTATTCCGAAGAATTTTTGGTTTTCTCAAGCTACGCAAACTGGAAAAAGAAAAAGATGAGCCGAATACAACCACAACAGAAGACATCCCTGACCAAAGCCAAGAGTCCTCAGAAACAGTAGACAGAGTTTTGTTCATCCCTCACAAAACTTCCTCTGGGGATAGAGAAATTACGGTACAATAACCCCAATTGTCAGCGGTATTGCAGTTCAATACTCCAGCCGATCAGCAGTTTCAACACATATTGCAGACAGGTCGTCATCAATTAATTTTATATAAATACTGTTAATTTTTATTTCAAAGTCAGTTGTAATTATATTAAATAAAAAACTGTTACTTTGTTAGTTGTACCTTTAAAAGGGCCTTTTAAAAAGTACCTTCGGGAGTGACAACCCTTAATTGGTATGATGCATAATTGGAAAAGTATATTCAATATTAATGAACGTATAGCGACCTAGGAGATATAATAGGACACTATGAATAACAATATATTTACTGTAAGACAAATTTTGATTTATTGACTTAAAAAAGCCTCTGGCTGAGTACAAAATAAACAACTGTTTGAATCCTAACATGCGACATGGCAAATGGAGGAGGAGGATAAAACGAATATGTTAAATAGACAGAAGAAAACAAAACTGTTAATTGTTAAAATGTTAAGTTTTGAACTTGCTTCATAAGTTTTTTAGTAGGCCCAGTGCGTGTAGTAGTCATAGCTAAACTCTCTTTAGGACCAGGTGGTTCAGGCCAGATTATTTCGTGCTCTAAATTAGCTTCTGTTGTAGACCTAAGTGTTTCCTTGTTTGTTTCATTAGGCTCTTCATTTTTACCATCTTTCCGGATTTCACTGCCTTCATGGCCATTTCAAATTTCCAAAGATCAAAAAGGAATTATCATAGGAGCAGAAATAATTAACAATATACGGTACGCCGACGATACTGTGATTCTAGCTGAAAACATCGACGATCTGCAGGAGCTAATCAATAGAGTTGACATGGAATGCACAAATTGGGGACTGTCGATAAATATCGATAAAACTAAATACATGGTGACATGAAATACATGAATACATCCTTCGAAATCGATGTAGAATTGAACAGGCAAGAAACTCATTTTAAAAATTCAAGCCTCTATTATCCAATAACTCATTAAATTTGAAAATCCGTGAAAAGTTTACAAGATGTTACGTGTGGTCTGTACTTGTTTATGGATGTGAAACTTGGACTTTAAACGCCGATATCATGAATAAAATCGAGGCGTTTGATATGTGGTTGTATCGAGGGATACTAAAGATTCCATGGACTAGCAGAACCAGAAACGAAGAAGTTCTTCGAAGAATGGGACATCAACGAACTCTATTAAATATTATTAAGAGGCGTAAACTAGAATATCTTGGACATATAATCAGAGGACCAAGATATGAGTACCTTCGGCTAATTGTCAACGGTAAAATCGAAGAAAAGAATAGGATAGGTTTCTTTTGGCAATGGAGGCAAAAAGGAAAAAGGGCAAAAAGGGCATTCCAAAAAGGAATTTGCGGGAATGGACAGGTTTGACAGCGGACCAATTGCTAAACGTAGCCCAAGACCGAGATCAGTATAATAATATTATAAGCATGGTAGTCGCCGACGTTCCATAGGGATATGGCACTCTAAAAAGAAGAATGGTCATTTAAATTTTCAGCCGCACAAAAGTCATGATCCTTGAAGACCATGCGATCAACAGGCCATACTCCACTAGTTCGGAAACCACTGACTGCAATTTCAATGCTTGCTGCTCTCCCATAATCTTCAGAAATCAAGCCAGCTACGTGAAGTTGTGTAACACACAATAGGGGGTTAGCCACTTTTCAACTTATTGAGTGTAGAATCCTTCGAAAGGTTTAAAGAATGATCTATCCAAAGGTTGCGATGGGTCGTATGCCCAGGCAATTTTAGTATTATTACACCGTGCTCTCTAGCGATTAAAATTGCTTCAAGGTTCTTAGAGTGCGTTATATGTCCATCCAATAAAAAAAGAACTTTTTTGTTCTATTGTTGGGTTTGGAGAATCAATAAAATGCTGAAGCCATTTTACAAAGAGATTACTGCTCATGTAACTTAATTCTGATGTCTCAAACATACACTCTAGTGGAGCTCCAACCCTCAAATCATTGTTTATTTGCATACGATTAAATATAAGCATGGGTGGTACGTAAATTTCTAAAGCACTCGCACAGCAAACAACTGTCGTGTTGACTCCACGTTCTCCATTTGACACTGACCCAACTTGCCTTTTACCTTTTTGTGCGAAAACATTTTGGCATTCGTTCTTCACAGGGCTCACACCCGTTTCGTCAACATTAAATATGCGAGTTTCATGAATATGATTTCCATCAACAATTTTTTCCAGAAGGTCGCAAAAGGCGTAAACATTATTTTAATTGAATCCTTTTGCGCGGATCATGGACGTTGCTTGAGGGTTTTCTCAGTGAGATTATGTCCTTATGACGAGCTTTGAAAGCATAAAATCACTTCTTCCTGCCATTTGTGATTCTTTATTAAAATTATGTATTATTTAATTTCTCTCCACTATTTTAAATGCAAGCCGTCGAACATCATTGATCGTGAGGCCAAACATCAAGGTCTCCAGCTTTAAAATGTGATCAAAATGTGCTGTTGGTAACATACTGCTACGGCCAAAAGCCTTCGTTTCTTCATTTGCCTTGACATTGTTCCCCCTAAGATGACCGAGCAAGGTAGGTTTAGGGACTCCATACTGCCTGCAGCATTCATTTAATGTCTCCACTACGAAATGTTAGAAGAGCCCAGTTCATGTGGTCCTCATTCCAATTCCCATATTTTCCTTTGATCATTTATTTTTGAAAATAAGTAGGTATTAAATACCCAAATAATAGGAGGTATCTAAAATTGTACCGCTACAATATAGGCAACTCGGCGTGGTACAATATGGGAAACTTGCTCTTTACGTAAATAAACTACGATTCCTAACCTAAAAATGGCCCGGCAAAGAAAAACAACTTAGTTTTATACACCTAAATATATGCTTTTCTTGGAATTATAAATAAAAATGGTTTGCATGTATCTTTACATATGTTGTAACCTTACGTATGGAACTAGAAAACTATACTGAAACACCATGAAATACAATAAATTCGATAAAACAAAATCTACAAATCAACATAAAGTATATAAATTAAAATTTTACTATTTGTTTGACTTATGTTTTACCTGTAAAACTACTGTGTGAATATTTAAACATAATTTTTCACTAATATTGTTCTGAAGCTATTTTCTTGTGGCATTGTAAATTAATTACTATTTATAACTGGGAATAAGCCACAATTAAATTGAAATTGAAACGTCAATAAACGTATTTTTTATCTTTAATTGTGGCTTATTCCCAGTTATAAATAGTAAATAATTTGATATACTGAATACAGATTTTGATATAGTAATAGTGGGAACAGGAATAATAGAATCTACCCTAATAGCACATGTACGTCCAGTGGACGTCCATAGTACGTCCCTCGCGGACTTTAGGGACGTCCCTCGAACGTCCGCTTTGGTCCTATTTACGTCCGTTTTACGTCCTATATTGGTCCGAATGTCGCTGCGCCAAACGTCCTATGGACGTCCATTTTACGTCCCGAGCGGACGTAAAATGGACGTACCGGGACGTTAATTGGACCTTAATCGGACGTCCATAATACGTCCAGAGAACTTACTTGACGGACTTTTGTGATATTTTCGGACATCTATTTTAGCGCTCAGGATGTAAATTAGACGTCAACGCCATTGCATAAAGTACTAAAAGTGGTGTCATCCTGTGCATATTAAGAATGTATTTTGGGAAATAAAACTTAAATGTTTAAAGAAACTTACATTTATTATTACATTTATTTATATTTATTTATTATTAACAAACGGGACAAATTCACTGTCAAAATTATGCAAAAATGCAACATTATAGAAATATAAAATAATTTTGTGTAATAAAACATAAATGTTTAAAGGAACTAACATTTATTATTACATAATATTGATTTATTATTAACAAATGGAACAAATTCACTGTCAAAATTATACAAAAATGCAACATTATAGAAATATAGACAAAATTACAGATAAAATAAAATATACATGAATAAAATAAAGAAGTACACATTTTATAATGAGTTTCATTTAGCATTTAAGTGCTTCAAATAGTACCTAAAGCTATTGATATGAAAGTTTTAGACCATCTTTATGTGTGAAACATAATTAGTTCTGTGGTAAGGAACATGGAAATGTAAATTCTGCCACAGTGAATGGGAAGGAATATGAAAACAAACTAGCTGAAGCAATTCAGTAGATTGGTTATTTTATAAAGTTGAAAATTAAAGATTAAAAGGTAACACTTTTGATAAGAGAATCCAGATTCAAGAAATTGATCATATCAGAATAAGAATATGGTCTACACAATTTACAAGAACAGTCGATGCTTGTAGATGAGTCAGTATAAATCTAACCAACATAAAAATGGTTTTTAATGCAATTATAACATAATCAGTATAAATTAGTTGAAGTTGAACGACTAGACAGTAAGTAAACCACGCTGACCAGTATGAAGCTGATTCTTTAAATTTACTGTCAAAAAATCAGTCAGTAAAGCCTCGACAATTTTAGGAATAGCAGAAAGAATTATAATGGAACGATAATTAGGAATCAATGAGTTAAGGATAAAATCAATAAATAAATTGTGATGAAAAGTGACCCTCATTCAGATATTTATAAAAAATAAGCCATAGATGCCTACATAAAAAGAATGCACAATTCCCTAAAAATAAGTTAAGATAT